AGACACGCGGTGGACAATTATCTCAGGCACCCTGCAATATACGGAAAAAAAATAACGGTATAACAGTAAGTTTTACAGTATTTGAGTAGTAAAAGACTTAAGGTAATAGCCAGTAATGACTAATGTCAGAGATGATGAGCGGGGAAGAGAGCTATGCATAGCATGACCTTATGACCATGATATTGTCAGAAAGGCGGTTAAAAAAAAACATTTTCGACTTGCATTGGCCACATTTTACTTGTGGCAATAGTTGCGTCCTTCTGGCCTTCGTCTGAGCATAAATTGCACTTCAATCAAGGACAAAACAATGACAGAGTAAAATGTTCTTCATATTCGTCCAATGTCAAAGTCTTCTCCAAATACGAATATTTCTCTTAAAATTCAAGAACTTTGGGGTCTTTTTAAGTGCACGTCAACCTGCGGGACAGTGTTATGGATTATTGGAGACTTATAAGGAAGAGAAATTTCGGTTCGCAACCACGACAGGTGCTTGGGAATTTGAGATTAATTGGGGGCGAGCCTCATTGTTGGGCGCGTCAACGAACGTCTTTCAATCAACGCTGCCGGCCGACGCGCACCGGCCACGGCAAACGCGTGCACACATACATGCACACACAAACACGCACACTCACACACACACATGCCTTTCCATTCATTCGCCATTCATTTTGGTTGCCGTTGTGACATAACGGTGTGTATTAGCAGCATCACGCCACACCCGGCCACACCGCGCTTTCCCAGAGCGCGCGCCACAAGGGCCCCGGCGCTCACTCGGCCCGAGTCGCACGCACACACACACACATACACGAACATAAAAGAAGGCATTGTCAAAATGCACACAGGCAAGGTTTTTTTGTGTTTTGTTTTAACGCCCAGAACAAAAAACAAAAACAAAAAAAACACGCGACTATGGGATTAACGGTTTTGGTCCATAACGGCAAGCCCTTCCCCCTCCCTTCCTCGCCTCCCCACCCTCCGCCCCACCCCCAAAATTAAACAACAACTGATGAAAACAAATGTAGACGTTTTAAATCTCGCGAGGTTTAAGTGTTGTTGTTGTTGTTGTTGTTGTTGTTGTTGTTGTTGTTGTTGTTGTTGTTGTTGTTGTTGTTTTCGCACCGCTGCGGGGGAAGCTGAGCTACAGCGAGGGCCCCCCTTTTACGGGACAAGAAGTAATTCTAGCCTCGAGCGAGGCGAGACTCTCCTTCTTGAGGTGCAGACGCGAGCGCCATATACACTCCCTGGTGTGTCCGACGTGATAGGCTCTCGGCTCGGGGCCCACGACGCTTTGCTCTATCGGCACTAAAACATCCCCCCGCCGTCCCTCGAGCAGGCTTTGTGTCGAGGTGCGTCCCCCCGGCCTTGGGAAGGGTATCAATAGATTATAAAACGGACGGACGGACGGACGAACACGGCGATGGACGGACGGACGGACGAACGGACACATACGCAGCAGCCGGGACGGACGGACCGACGGACGGCCCTATCAATGACCGGCACCTTCCCTTGCGTCACCCCGGACAACAGAAGAAGAAGAAGACGTCATGAAGATAAACTCCTCTCCTTTTGTTTTCCAGCGGCGGCCTGCAGCTGCAGCAGCAGCAGCAGCAACCACCACCGCAATGTCTGTTTTGGCTTTCACTACTTAATTGCCGGGGCGCGCGTCGTGTGTCTTTTGTTTCGTGTCGGTAACAGTGTAACTCCCCTGCTGCTGCTCCTTCTTCCTCCCACCCGCCCTCATGCCGCCCCCTCCTCCCCGCCCAATCATCGATACCCCTGACCGTGCGTGCGGCATACAAAGTCTTATAGGGGCGAATCAGCTTTAAGTATAAGGGACGTCTGAAAGTGTTTGTACTGTCGACTGGTAGGTAGCTATAGGTTCTAGGGTGTTGGGGAACACTCGCTGACTCGGACGAATAATTTATTGTTTTGAATTTTTTTTAAAGTCGGAGAGTTGATTAAATCGCACATCCAAATTCCCAGTCAGGCCTGCTTGCCGAAATTCTATAATTATTCAAATTTAAAATACCATTGTCTGAGACCTTTGACCTTTGTACACGCCACATTTTGGCATTGCACCCAGGAATGGCTTCCTCGCTTACCGAATTCAAAGATACAAAAATTTGACAAGCAAAGAAACATGCCTCAAAATCGTAACAAAGGTCAGACAAATGTATGATATTACTAATTCCACGTCCTGTTCACTCTGCGGGATTCGATTTGTAAAGAAATGTTACTCGTTCAAGACGGGCCATGTCTTTTCGCGACTAACAAATAATAAAGTGCCACCCGATGTTCCATATCGGCGGAGAGCAGCAGGGCAATAATACGGCGGCTTATGGCGTGTCGCTCGTGTCGTTCGCTGTCTCGGCGGGAGTTGTTACTCAACGACGCGTTTGGCGTGAAAGCAGCCGTGTCGTCGTCGCGTTCGTTGGGGACGAAACTAGCGACGGAACGAGCGAAGGACTACGGCGGTGGCTGCACAGGGGGGAGGACAGAGGGACGGGGGTAGGGATAAGGAGGGGCTCATGTTCACCTAGCCTAGCACACGACTCCTGTTACCGCTCTGCGCCCAAATTGTCGGGACAAAGCGAGCTTCCGTGCGCGTCTTTATGCGTAGCGTGGGGGTCGTTCAGCCCGTCCGCCACGCGCTGGAGGAGGCGGCTCACCTCACGCGCCCGCAGGGAAGCAGAGGCGCCGGCGCCAACACGCCCCCGCCGCGCGCCACGCCACGAGCCAGACACAAAAGGAAATTAGAGTGCCCCCTGATGCACCGCCGTGAGAGGCGCCGCCACCGCGAGGCTCCTACTATGATAAAGAGAGCACAAGCAGCCAGCGCCTTGTTCATTATGCTAATCAGCCAGCGCGAGCCACCGCGGCCCGCGGCGCGTCTCGTCCAGCGGCACCTGATACACCCGCCCGTCACGTGGTGGAAGCGGAGTGCCGTGCGACAGTGTTCCTCGTGCACGGGAAAAATTATTTAGCTGCACAGCTAAACTAATAGCTAAATGTAATGATTTACCTATGTTGCCAAACAATAAGGAATGCGTAGTTACGGAGCGAAATTTTTTGCGACATGGCTAGAGTTGCATAAATAATGGCAAAATAATTTGTTGTCGCATATTTAACAATTGTATAGCTATATATAGGTAATCATTTTTTCCGCCGCGTGTGGCGCGTCCAGCGGCACCTGATCCCCGACACGTACACGGCCGTCACGGAAGCGGAGTGCTGTGTGACGCCGTTCCTGTATGGCGCACTAGGAAAAAAAATCTGTCTCAGCACCATACGTTTAGTCCCCAGATCGAAGCTTTTTCGTTGCACTATACGTCTAGCGCTGGGAGCTGACCGTATCATCCTCATCCTCATGCCGCCCCCTCCTCCCCGCCCAATCATC